TTTCTTTTTTTTTAGGTTGAACAATGGCTGTCCAAAGAAAAAAGAAACCCTGGAAAGCGTAACGTTATTTTCATGTAAGTTACTGTTTTGTACCTTTGTTAAATATTGTTATATATTTTGTACTACATAAATGAATTTGACAGTATTATCCATGCCAATTCTTTAACCAGTGGGTAATTGGCGACAATACTTTTAATGAATTATTAGTTGTGGAATAGCTCGTAACATAAGAAAGTTTACAAGACATCGTTTACTTTAGATTTTAACTTACCTTTTGCGAAGATGATTAAATAAAAAGTAAACTATCAGAATTGAAGTGAAAAACTAAGAATGACTAATGATCACAGACTATTTATACTTACAATAGAAAACAGATGGTGTATTATTCCTATTAGTCTAAGATGATATAGAAACTTTTAACCTCCTAATAACTAAAATGCCGCAAGCCGTTTAACAAAAGATAAGCAAGTTCTTAAACTCCATGTATTTTGCCAGGAGGTATAACGGAAATGAATAAAACATTTTTAAATCGTTAAAATATTCTACCATTTATCAATAATATTCAAAGAAACTCACGTATTACTTCCATTTTAGTTATTATTTTAAACAAGGCTAATGAGTACATCGATGCATTATCGTTATGCTTTTGTGTTTTTTATCGACCACAAACCCAAATTCTTTAGAATAACTCTAACGTGAGACAAAGGTATCCTAAAGTGTTAGAATCTTAAATTTTCATAAGACCGATAAACAAAAATTTAGTTCCACAAATACCTAAACACGTTTTTAGAAACTATTTCTGTTGTTCTCGCTACTGCTAATTTTATATTAGTTTGTAAAGATCAAAAACCATTTTTTAAATTCAAATCTAAAAGTGGATGTACAATCAAACGTTATTTGAGAATTGCATTAAAAAAAGTCCACACAATGGCACTTTGACTTTAAATTTAAATGAAAATCGTATTTCTAGTTAATTTCTACTTAGCAGATCACTACAAATCAAAAATTATAAAAAAAATTGAAAGCTTACCTTTGATTTTGAACCCAGTGCAGACAGTAGAAAGAGAAAATGTGGTCAAATTGATTTTCGAAATCAATGGGCAGATTTTCACAGGAAATATTCATTTGTAAGAAGCTCAGTTTCGGATTGCTGTAGTTCTGATTGGCAAAGTCCACCATTTCTTGAGAAATATCGCCTCCTATTACTTTTCTTATTGAATTTGGCAGTAACGGCATCAAAATTTCACCAGTTACATCCCCCGAACCGCAACCAATATCCAAAATAATGTCATTTCCGTCGGGTTTCCATTTAATAAAATCGAAATAATTGTCCAAAACAAATGAAACATCGGACTTTTGCAAACTATTGTATTTCTTATATAAAAGTGCTTGATTCATTGCTTCTTATAGGCGGTGCGTAAGAAATATCGTTTAAAAAAATGGATTGAAAGATCAAGCACACCTAAACTACACATGATTTTTTGGTAACTTCTGCTTTTATACAGGGTGGGGAGGATCATCTTTACGTACGCGTGTATTACGTATTTGTGTATGTAGTGTACATACAGGCATGTATGTAATATGTTAAGTGTATCTTCTACTGTAACTAGATATGAAAATTCAGTAGGAAACATAATCTGCAATTTAGAGTTTAACGTATAATAGGTGATATATCTATTTTGGACCACCTTTTCGAACAACAATAAAAAAAAGATACAAACAATGAGATGACTTCCTGTTTGGTTCAATTTTAAACTGATCTTTGACACTTTTCTGCATAGAATTGTTACGCAATTGTGGGGAAATGCTACTGATGGAAAATTCGATAAAAAATTAATTCATCCGATATTTCGCGTTAAAAAGTAGACTGAAAATAGCACGTTGAATTACTCTACAACTATTGGGCAAGTGCGGGCCGTATCAATTGCTGCTATTTGTTATACGTAGTTACGTGACAAACTTAGTTTGGGAATATTATTTTTATGTGGCATACGTGTAAAACGAAACACATTGAACTGACCACTACAACATATATAAGTTTAGGACCGCGATGCGATTACCGGATGGACCGGTCAAGGAACCCGAAACAAATAAAAAGGACAGAAAACGTTTTGGACAAAAAAATGTAATTGTGTCTGGTCAGGGCTGTTTCGAAACGAGTGATTCGGCTTCTCGTGGTTCCTTTCTGTTTTTTTTCTTTTTCAATTCCAACGAATAAAATTCGGTAAGAGAAATGCACGTCTCTGTACGAATGCATACATATACGTGATGCATATTCGAATGTAATGTATTTCTTAACTTCAGCGCCCAATATTTTTGTTTCGTTTTTTTGGACCAATTTATTGTACGTATTAAAACACTGGTTTCTTAACGTGAACTTCTAAAGGAAAGGTTAATGGAATGTTGATGAGGCAGCTCAGCAAATATATAATATGAATATTAAATGTACCATTTGTTGTTTAAGGCGAAAAATAAAGAAGTGATTTTGCATGTATTGGAATGGAATATTCGGAAATCTAATTTTTTAAAGCACTAATGTCGCCTTATAATTAATTATATCTTTTAATGCTTTATACTTAATTACGATTCGTGCGGATGTGGAGTTTACAACACCTTGGTTCGGCAATATCTTTATCAAAAGTTTTGTAATTCTGTCAACGTTCTTTTCTTGCTTATACTATTTTTATTGAAACAAACAACTTTAGAACCTNGTTTAGCTCAGGATAGGAAAGAGTGGAGGTACGTGCCCAACCAGTCTTAGGACTGATGACCTTATGATGATGATCGTATAACCGATGTTGTTATAAAAACATAATTTGGAACTACCACTAATCATATGTTAAAGAAAGTAATTTTCGATCAAAATACATTCAGGGTTTCCCATAGTATGGAACTCTCCGATTTGCAGTTTGTTTATTATTGTTTAATCAATAATTTTTAATTTTTGTAGATTACTAATTAACTATTAATCAAAAATAGAGTTGCCACTACTAGTGACGAATAAAAATAGTCTTAGCCTTGCAGTTTCATCTTGTCTTGGTCAGGCTCAGACTAAGAGCAAGACTTAAAAATTGTCACAGTATTCTCACATAAATTCCAAAATAGTTACAAGATAAAATGAAAAATAAATAAAACAGAATTAAATAAGAGTAATTTGAAGAATGCCCTAAAAAAACACCAAAAAAATGAAAGTGCATATTTTTTATATTAGCAGTATGCCAGGATGCCCCAATAGTTTTTGCAAAATCGAAAATTTGTTGAATATGTCGTCTATATTTGGATTTACAATATTTAAAGTGTGTAGGTATCTACTAAACTTTATTGCTAGATGTATGGGATGCTACAAAATGAAATGATTTGGTTAATTAAACAGATGGGAAAACAATTTTATATTCATTTTTGCTTCTTTCTGCTTGAAGAATAACAATAACTAAAGAAGTCAAAATTTGGCAATACTATTGCAAGGTTACGAACGGATGTTCACCCTACAAGTCATACAAAAGGAAGAATCGACCTTCCAAAACCAAGATCAAGGTCAAGACGTATTGTCAGAAAGGAAGGCCAGGACCAATCCCAATACCGTATTGGTCTTGCGTTGGTCATCATTAATAACATAAAAAATCCCCACATCTCCGATAAGTAAATATTCTTTTAGGCCGTTACGTTTTACGTTACGTTACGTTTTCTACATATTGTAATTATTTAAATTTACAAAAGCGGGGTAATCTCCTGTAGCATATTATTTGAAATTGTCACCTTACTTATTAATCAAATTAATGTCGGGTTTCCAAATATATTTGGTGGGTATTTTAAGTTTTCTTATTCCTCCATACTGTGAATCGTTCCATGCCAACTTGTAGTCGTTCCAACGCATTACAATCCACCAGCTACTTTTCAAAAATTGAGTTATCTGTCCCTAGACAATTAATTTAAATACAATTTTACTATAAGATTAATAATAATTGATTACTATGCTATCATTTCCTTAAATATTTGAAGAAATAAAGTTTATTACAGTTACATGAAATGCAGTTAGTAGTTCAGAAAATATATGCACAATCAATATTTGAACTTTTGTCAGTCAGGGACACAGTCGTATCCAGAAGGTAAGGTGGGCGGGGGAGATGGTAATAGGAGGGTATAAAAAGTGTGTTAAACACGGTACCCCGTAGCGTAAGCAATTTAAACCCCAAAACCTGGAGAATAGCAGATAATGCATTCAAATACCTATTTAATTGAGATGATATGACGGTAAATAAATAAATGACCTACGCCCCGGTTGCTGGACTTATGGGGGTATTTATGGTTTAGGTTAAGTGATTTAAAACACTACAGTTGTAAGGTTATGTTTAACTACTAGGACCGAGCGGCATGGCCCAGAGGTTTAGACCATTGTTTAGCATTCAGGAGGACGCCGGTCCGATTCCGAATCCGCCCGGCTTGGTCCAAGTTTTTCTGTGGTTTTCTTGGATCACTTAGGCAAATGCTGGGGCAATAAAATTCCACAGATAATGTTTCATTCTCTTCTGTCTTCATTTCGTCCGTCTCATCTTTCTCACCCGAACCACCACCCACCCAATCCCACGATTCCTGAAAGGAGGCTGAAGAGGGTCTTCTGCCCTACCTTCTGGCGTAGTCCAGAGGGATTGCCCGCACACCAGCATTAGTGGCTGATGGGAATGAAACACCCAAAAGTTTTTTTTTAACTTCTAGGAATCACAATGTGTTTTAAAGAGTAAATGTAATGTTTTGAGTTATTGGGTTTTTAATTTCGTGAGGTACTATTCTGTTAAATGCTAGAGGGGGAGGTGCGATCGCCCTTATCTTTCACCTTTTCGGGATCCACCCCTGACCAAGGATAATTTATTTCTGAAACTTAAGTACTTACCATATCATGAACTTTTCGTAATGTAGTCGTGATAGAAACATGAGTTGGCTCTGATATATTTTGAGAAGGTCTAATTGACATCCCATAATTGGATATTATATCACGTATTAGACGAATTTCGTTGTCATCTGCTAGAATATTTCCTTCTGAAAATAAAGGAATTATGCATTTTACTTTGTAAAATATCTATAATATAGAAATATATCGTAGTATGAAAATTACGGTGGATGCGCCTGGCAAAGTTTTCTTTAAAGTAGTGTTAACGAATAATCGTCATAAATTTAGATAATTTGTGAAGCCTTTGTTCCATACCTTGAATAGTTAAGATGAATATAGTTATTGAAAGTTTTAAATACATTTTTGTTGTAAAAATGTACAATGAAAATAAATTAGCACTTGTTTTTTTAAATCAGAAGACGAGAAGTGGAGAACAAAATGAAACAGTTGCATGAAATGATTATTACGATACAATCAATTTTTATGAATTATGTAGTGTCTATGTCTACGTTAATGGAATGCAACTAATGTAACAAAATTAATTTTTCATGCGTACTTAAGTCTCCGTAAACTTCTCTGCAAAATATATGGTTGTATTGGTGGATAATATTGCTTCATATGCTGCAGTAGAATCTCTTTGTTTAGATTTTTATAATCTTTCGTTACTATTAGTTCATTTCATTATTAATTGCACAGTATATTCGTATTCCTCATACAGGGCATTTTCATATTTTTGGCCCGACATGGATTTAACAAGCACGAACCCATGGGTACAAATACGTTAGAGGTCTCCTGGTAGAGTTTTTTGCATTGTTTTCGTGGGAAAAGGTATCATTGGACCTCCACTGTTCTGATATAGTTTTCCCTAAAATGTTGCGATGTGTTTTAATGGTTTTTCCTCGGATTTGGGTTTTCTCTGTCGCTTAAGGGATTTATGTCTCTTTTGTACCTTCTCGTTTCATATCTTGGCTAAATAATTATTACACCGTACACCATTAAGGTATTTTTTATTATTTGAATCGAGTGATCGTTTCCACTTTATCAAGCAATTATAAGAAAAATTGCGTTGTCATTTTTATAATTCCGCTGTAAGTCGAACATTGAGTTTACCTCTAAATAAAGCTATTGAGTTTCTCTTCATAGTTCCTAATTCAAATGGAAATTGTAGCCTCTCATTTCTGCTCCTGTAAATATACGCTAAGGACAAATTGGTAAAGGTTTTCGCGGCTAGTAGGTGAACTGATGCTATTGGGTCTAAAGGCCGTCGTTGAGTGACGAATTCCTTCAGAGGTCCTTCCATCTTGGATACTGGATACGCTAAGGAATTCATTTATGCATGCCTTTTCAAGATCAATATGGACCTTGCTCAGTTTAAAATCAAAATGTTAGAGGTTCCTGTATGTCTCTTCTTTCTTGTCACACAATATTCCATGAATGAACTTATTGAAATATTGCTGAACAACCCTTAAATGTTCTGTCTCCAAAAGAAATTGCTTTGACACAATAATTGTGGTAAAATAACACAGGGTACAAAACAAGAACTCATTAGGCGCAATTTATCTTGAGGGTATAAAAAGATAATAAAATTCATCAAAAAGGTACTATTTAATCAAGGTACAAAATGAGAAGGTGCGAACTGGGTATGCACGCTCTTTGGGCCTTCTTATTTTGAATGAATATGGGACCGTTGGGAGGACTTTTTCGAGTAGAATAAAATAAGTGAGGAATTATTAATGTAAGGAAAAATTAGAAGATTAGATAAGAATACATATAAGGGGATATGATAAATAGAGAAAAGGTTGAAATTAGGGCATAATAAGATGGTCATTACTTATAGAAAAGTGACGAGGGACACACTACGTTAACATAGTTTTATAGAGGACCTGGACACCAACCCCAAACGCCCTTATATATAAATCCAACCCTGCATTCAGCGCATACCTGGTATGTTGTAGACATTGACAGAACGCAAGCGTAGGCGAGGCACAGAAATTTTGATCAATAGCTAATGAGAGTACATTTCACCCTGTTGTTCCGCTACCTACCGCAAAAATCGAAAAATACTGCATTTTAATCAATCTTTTCCTGGCAAAATATTAAAACACCTTCCAGGACGCCTAGTAAAGTATTTCCCAGTCCGGGCACGGCCCACAACGTCTGGGCCTTGCCACAAAATTCGTGTAACATGGTGGCCGAAAACGAAAATTCAACCGCCAGAGAAAATTATTATGATAACCGTAGAAACGTGTATTCGTCTGACAATGAGAATGAATTTATTCAAAAAAGTATTTTCGACGTGGTCAAGGCGGGGTAAGAACTTACCTGTGTTTGTTAAAATTAATTTCGATAAATATCAAACTTTATAGTTAGCTTTCAAATATTCCGAATTTTATTTCTTTAAGTATAATATTGCATTCTTTGTATCAGATATTCTTGTATGGAGATAAATAATGAATGGAATTTGTACTTGCTATAAGTAATTATTGATGAATATTCTCCAGAATTGACAGTTTCCAAAAAAACAATTTGCAATATTCTTCTGCGATTGTCATTTTTGTTTGTAGCGAGGTTACTGATGTTAAAGAGATAGTCCATCGTTTGGGAACTCAGATATTAAGAGCACGTGATGAATGGGGTTATACTCCTGCCCACTGGGCAGCGTTGGACGGAAGCGTGGATATCATGCGTTTCTTGATCGAAAAAAATGCGCCCATCGACTTACCGTGCCTTGGTACCCAAGGCCCTCGTCCCATACATTGGGCCTGCAGAAAAGGGCATGCGGCTGTTGTGCAAGTTTTGCTACAAGCCGGGGTTGCAGTTAATGCAGCGGATTTTAAAGGGTTGACACCTTTAATGACGGCATGCATGTTTGGCAGGACGGCCACTGCGGCTTATCTTTTAGGGATGGGAGCTTTTAATCATTTGGTTGATATAAACGGAGATACAGCACTACATTGGGCTGCCTACAAAGGTCACGCTGATGTCATTAAACTTCTAATTAATTCAGGTGCTGATTTGCAAAAACCTGACCACTTTGGTTCCACCCCGCTTCATTTGGCTTGTATATCAGGGTGCGTAGGGTGTGTGAGACTTCTCTGCGAAAAGGTAATTTTGTCGTATGTTCTTTGGTACCTCCTGCTTTGAATATTTTGCAATAAATCTTTGCTATTGTTTTCAAGCCCTTCCCCATAACTGGTACATTTTTATTTCACCCTTCTTTATTATTATTTTCTGGCTTTTTTGTTTCCATAAATTTGAACGCTAATGTTGACGTGATTCATGTTTTTCCGAGTTGTGGGAAATAATTTTCAGAATGACGTCGAATTAGAGCCCCTCGATAAAAATTTTAAAACACCCTTAATGCTAGCTCAAAGTCACAGACATGGCGATATAGTTCAAGTACTCCAAATTGAAAAAAAGAGAAGGGCAAGTTGGTTTCCTCCAAGGTTTTGGTCGTTCTTGTACGGCAATCGGAATCGATCAAAAGGTCCTTTATTATTTTATTTGGCGTCAGTGATTCTCTGGTGCTATCCAGTGTATATTATAAAAGTAAGAATTTGAACACTGTAAATGTATAAGTGATGTACATGGCTTAAATTATTTATTATTAAGTAAAAGTGCACGATTTAGATTATATTATATAATCACAATGAATTAATGATTTAAATGAAAAAAGCTTTGAACTTTTTCAGGTAAAAACTCCTGGACAATGTTTCAGTCCATCCAAAGAAATTTCCTTGGTCCTAAATAAGCACATAATAAGTCCTGGTTGATTAAACTTATAACTGAAATGAATTATTATAAAACTTCTTTCAATAGGCCTTCCAATTGAAACCGGTTGTAATTAAAATAAAAGACAAAAATCAAGAAACTGAATTTTCATTACAGTTCATCATTTCATATTTCATTCTTGATTATAGTCTTTGATTTTAATTACGACAGGTTATAATTGGTGGAGAAAGTTTTATAATAATTTATTTTAATTATACCTTTTAATCAGCCAGGAACTATGTTAGCTTAACATGTACTTATTTAGAACTAAGCAAATCGTCTTAATAAAGCTCTAACCGTGGAATGAAACGTTAGCTTTATTTTGCCAATAAATCTAGAAATATTTACCTAAAAAAACTGTACAGTTATCATCATTTGAGTACACCATTTAATCCTGGATGACAAACACCTTTTCCCTTGGTGAAAAGATTTGTTGTACTGTCCAGATATTTTAGAAAAAAAATATTTTAAGCCGTTTCTAATGAAAACATTTAAGAAAACAGTGAAATAGTAGGTAAATAATGGCCTTTTTTGCAGTGTGTTCCTGTAACATGGAACCTCCTTCGAGGTTCCCACTACTGTTTTATATATTGGAACGCGGTAATGTGGGTCTGCTGGATAGTTGCAAATAGGAAAAATCCCGGTTACATTTCCCTTAATTCTGACTCGTACTACCGAGCAATTAATCAAATTCCATACTTTGATAAATGGAAAAAACGCAATGTCGTTTTGAACAGGCTGTGTCACAGTTGCAGAACGTTAAGGCCCTTAAGGGCCAAACATTGTCGCATTTGTAACAGATGCGTGTCATATTTTGATCATCATTGCCCATTTATTTACAACTGTGTGGGATTGAGGAATAGAATTTGGTTCTTTTTGTATGTTCTAAGCGTCGCTATAAATTGTTCTTATATGATGTATTTCTCTACTTATTGCATCGCCATAGAAGGATTCGCTGTTCTGTACGTTTTGAAATTATTGGATGCGTTTATTTTTGCAGGATTTGGATGGATTCTAACGTGCACTTCGGTAAATATTGAAAGAGACTCTTATTTGCTTAAAATATTACTTATTTAAAGATCATTATTTAGTACAAGTATATGATCTTTTTAGATACTACATGCATGTATGAATTTAACGACAAACGAAATGTTTAATTACAAACGTTATCCTTACTTAAGAGATAGAAGAGGAAGGTATTCAAATCCTTTTTCAAGGGGACCAATTTTAAATCTTGTGGAATATTTTTTCTGCACTCCTGAAGATTATAATGATGACTACACCATGTTTGATTATATTTAACAATATTCCCGTGAATAAATATCTATTTTAATTCATTGTTAATGATAATAGTTAATAAAATGTTAAAGCGTTTTTTGGGACTTTTTATTATTAGCTACTCCATCAATATACTGTTATTCTTAGCTTCGGTATCCTTTACACTTACATACATACGTATTAGGTACAATTGTGCTTAAATATACATTGGTACGAAATTAAGAAAAACAAAAGTTAATGTATTGTATACATGAATCTTCAATAAATATCTCATGCAATTATAAACATATACGTTTTGTAACAGTTTAATATTTTATATATTAATCACATTATTTATTTATCTACACACTGAGTTGCTTGTATTTACATTATCTAAGTTTTTGTTACTTTAGTAACTGGTCATAAAAGTTGTTAGGGATCTCTAGGTTTTTCTCATTTTTGTGCGTACACTACAAATAATTCATAAGGTACTTTAATTTGTTCTTCATTGTTATTGTTTGTTTCTACAAAATCCATTCGTTTAACTTCGGCGAGGTAATCTTCAAGGTATTTCTCCTTCATATTGTCTGGAATTCCGCTAAGAAATGGATTCACTGCTGTTATCGACTCTGTAATAATGAAAACCATGTCTATTGTTACATATTCATGTTTGTACTGCGTTTGTTTCTTCCTTTATGTTCTTTTTATATTAATCAAATATTCTAAATGCAATAGAATTATCAAAAGTTGTTTCTATTCATGTTTAAGATAAAATAAATTTTTTATTTATCAATTACAGTTTTCAAAAATTTGCAGGACATTATAGCACAGGCAGTATGTAAAGTGGGGTGGTTTTAGCTAATATAATCGGGTTGGTTGTTAGAATTAGTCCAGAGCAACATTCTAAATAATATCTAGGGGTTGGCTACTCGAAATTTTCCTGAAAAATTTACAGGAATTTGAAAAATGGAAAATTTCCCAAACATATGCATTTTGACATATTTTGATCATTATTCCAAAAACGAAATTCCTAGAAGAAAATTGGGCTGGAGACATCTTTGACTTTTGCAAAATGAGTGAAAACTGATGCGGAAAAACGATAATAAAAAAGATAGTGTTTCTTTTCAACTACAATCTAGTATAAATACTCTCAGTTTGATCAAGATCGGTTATATACTTTTTACATAATTTATTTTGCAGCTAAGTGGAAGCACTTTTTGAAATTAAAACTTAACTGTAGTGCTCTAAACATGCCCTCTCATTGATCGTAAGCTTAAAGGCAGATATTTCAATATGTAATAATTTTTGAAGAAGTTTGCAGTTTTTGGATAGCAAAATTTTAAGGGGTGCAACTCCTAGATATTGTTTAGAATTGAATTCTGAACTGATTCCAATATCTAACTGGATTACATTAAGCAAAGGCCAAACTTGATCGAATCTCATGACCTGCGCGCTGGACATCGTTCTGATTTTAATAAAATATAAACAAATATTTAAGAAGTTAACTTATGTAATTAATATTTGCACCGAATATTGTTATAATAATAAGTATTTGATGTAATGCACTTACTTCTTAAAGTTATAACGTTTGGATACACGTAAATTCGATGTTTTACTTTACAAACAATGTTTGTAAATCCTGTATCCCTTAGCAATTTTTCTAAATCTCCCTGAGGATCAGGTGAGTACTGATAGGGTGAAACAAATTGATTAATGTCGTTCATATACGAATGCCATCGACCTTGTTGGGATAATTGTTTATAAATTTCGAAAATAGGGTTATTCGCAAGAAATGTTAAAAGTACATCCCCATCCGGTTTTAACATTTTTTGAATGTTGATAAATGCCTGTCTGAAAAAAAAAACAAACGTAGAAAGTTCATAATCCACTCATAATTAGTAGTTTTGCTAAAGTGTTTTAAAGTTGTTATACCAGTTTAAGGTCCAATGCTTCAAGCTTTAACGATATTTAAAATTATAATTCCAATATGTATTTAATTTAAATATAATTTCTTTTCTTTTTTTTTAGGTTGAACAAAGGCTGTCCAAAGAAAAAAGAAACCCTGGAAAGCGTAACGTTATTTTCATGTAAGTTACTGTTTTGTACCTTTGTTAAATATTGTTATATATTTTG